TGAATCTGTTCTGATTCATGAAAAATACCATATCTCTTGTGAGCTGCAGGGCAATGAGAGGGACGAGTTACTCCTGAGAACTCCTCACAGCTGCCATGCACCTGATTCCCATCCAATCCTCTCATCTCACAGTGGTGACTCTAAAGACCCAGAGAGGAGAAAGGACCACAGTGAAGTGAGCGGGAGGCGGGAGTCCAGCCTCCCCCAGCTCTTTCTGTGACTGATAAGAACAGATACTACACTTGATCTTAGCCAAAAGGCTGAGAAGCGATTCTTTCTGTGACTGAGAGTTGCCTGTTATCGACTTAGATTTTAGTGGTGAGGGATGGGCTGGTGGGAGGAAAAAGAATGTGATGGAAGAAATGAAATGTGAATCTGCTGTGTTCCATCCAAGCCACATCACAAAAGAGATGCCTGAGTACTATATATGCTCATATTGTTTATACATATATGTAATTTTTATTTTATATTAGAGCATAGTTGATTAACAATGTGTTAATTTCAGGTGTATGGCAAAGTGATTCATTTATACATATACCTGTATCTGTTCTTTTTCAAATTCTTTTCTGGTTTAGCTTATTACAGAATATTGAGCAGAGTTCCCTGTCCTTGTTGGTTATCTGTTTTAAATACAGCAGTGTTGAGTTCGGTATATATTAACCTTCTCCTTGACTTCCTCTGTCAATGCTCAGAGGTGAGGTGGGCCCATGGAGTGGTGGTATGGGTTGAACTGTGTTCCCCCAAAAGGTATTGCTAACCCCTAGCCACTCAGAATGTGACCTTATATGGAAATAGGGTCTTTACAGAAGTGAGCAAGTTAAAATGAAGTCACTGCATATGTACTCAGTTGTATCCGATATTTTTTGCAACCCTGTGGACTATAGCCCGCAAGTCTCCTCTGTCCATGGGATTTCCCAGGCAAGAATACTGGAGGAGGTTGCCATTTCCTCCTCCAGGGGATCCTCCCAACCCAGCGATCATTGAACCTGCATCTCCTGCATTGGCAGGCAGATTCTTTACCACTGAGCCACCCGGGACGCCCTAAAATGAAGTCGTTAGGATGACCCTAATCCAATAGGAATGGTATCTTTATAAAAAGGAGAAGTTTGGACCCACGACAGACAGGCACGCAGGGAGAATGCCACGCAAAGATAAAGGCAAAGATGGGGGTGATGAGTCTGTAAGCTGAGGAATGCCGAGGGTGGCAGCAACCCTCCAGAAGTCAGGAGTGGGGCTCGGAACAAACTCTTCCTCACAGCCCTGCCTGGGAACCAGCCCTGTGGACACCTTGATCTTGGACTTCTGGCCTGCAGAACTCAGACAATACACTTCTGTCACTGGAGCCACCCAGTCTGTGGGGCTTTGTTATGACAGCCCTAGGAAGTGAGTGGGGCTGGGCCGGGGCTCACAGCCGCCCTTCATCGCACACGCCCTCATCACAAGGCCCCTAACCTGTGTGCTCCCCTCCCCTCTGCACTGTCCTCATCCTTAAATCCCCAGCCCACTTGCCCTCAACACCAGCCTTGCTGAAGGCCCACGACCCTGGGCCCTGGCCTGACCTCACCCTGACACCAAGCTCAGAGTGGGTGAGCCTTGAGGGAGGGGAAGGATGCCCTCCTTGCTCACCGACACCGGTCTTCTCCCACTTTCCAAGGCAGGACAGGCAGAGACATCAGAAACAGGCTCCCCGGGCCCTCAGGTGGGGTTGGCTCTAAGAGACCAACCTCTGACCCCACAGCTCTGGCCTCTCAGCCTGACTGAGGGAGAATCCCCTCCCCCTACCTTTTAAAATTTACAGTGCTCTTTATTTTATATAGTCTTCTGTCATTTTAGAGCTCTTTTTTTTTAAACTTTTTATTTTTATATTAGAATATAGCCGATTAATGAGGACTTCCCTGGTGGCTCAGATGGTAAAGCATCTGCCTACAATGCGGGAGACCTGGGTTCAATCCCTGGGTCGGGAAGATCTCCTGGAGAAGGAAATGGCAACCTACTCCAGTACTCTTGCTGGAGAATCCCATGGACAGAGGAGCCTGGTAGGCTACAGTCCATGGGGTCGCAAAGAGTCGGACACGATTGAGTGACTTTAGTTTTTATAGCTGATTAACAATGCTGTGATAGTTTCAGGTGGATAGCAAATGAACTCAGCCATACATACACACGTGTCCATTCTCTCCCATAGAGCTCTTTAGATGGGAGAGGTGTAGCAGTTAATTGAGGTGGTAAGTCTAACAATGGGGGAGGGGCTAAAAGATTGCTCTGAATTCAGATCTTGATAATTTAGTTATTTTGCTAGTGGATATTTAGAAAATTGGAAAAATTTAAAATGTTGGACAAACATCCAGATAACACATCAAAATGTCTTACTTTTACTTGGTTTCAAGAAGGCAAGGATTCAAGGGATTGAAGGGGACTTCAGCCTTTTGGAGTCTTCTAATGCGTGAATGGTGTGCTTTCTGCCCAGTCTAACTGAATTCCTCCTTTCATAGTCAAAGTGAATGCAGGTCTAGGCCTGCAGTGACTTCAGAGCATCACCCCAGCGATCCTTAGGGGCTCTGTGGGGTGGAGAGCGTGCGAAATAGGCTCAGACCAAGCAGCGGTCCAGATTGCTGAAAGGTAGTCTCCATCACTGGAGACTGGCTGGAGAAGTCAGGAAGGGCTTCCTGGAAGAGGAAGAACCAATGCTAATCTTGCTGGAGAGGGTGAGCTGAGTATTATTGCATGACATTAGGAGCCAGGTGCAATCATATACTTTCTCTTATTTTAATTTCTTATACCTGTGAGGCAGGCAATATTATCTGCATCTTATAGTTGAGAAAACTGAGACTTGGAGAAATTAAATGATTAAAACCACACGGCTTTATGTGTCTTAGAGGCCTTATTTAAACTGAGGACTCTCTAACATCAAAGCTCATCTTACTCTTTCTTCTGCATTCAAGCTCTGCCTTTTTGGGGAACAGATGTGTTTAAAGGACGGGTGGGATTTGGAAGTGTTGGGGAAGAGGCACTCTAGGCTGGCAAAGGAATGGGGTGAGAACTGACCCAGTGAGTCTGGGGAACCGTGAGGGGGCTGGTCTGATTGGATCTCAGGGAATCAGAGGGAACAAGGAGAACCAAAGTGAGAAGAGTGAGGAGTGTAACTTATCAGGCTGAGCATTCAGACTTGCTGGTAAGCAGTGAGTGAGTGAACCCTGGGGTCAAGGATACAGAGCTGGTGCTTTGAAGACCTACCTACCTTTCAAGTCCCCTACCTACCTTGACAGGACCTACCTGTCCCGATGGGACAGGGCCAAGCTGCTCCCCTGATGCAAAGGCTCTCAAGGAGAAGCATGTGGCCACGTGAGATGGACCCCACTCCCTCCTAAAAGCCCAGCCCCATGCCTCCCTGGGTAAGGGAGACAACCAGCTTCCTTCAAGGGCCACTGAGTCTTCCCTCCATCTGGGTCAGCTTCCACATGGAAGGTCACCTCTGCCAGCATGGACTCATCCTCAGTGGTACCTCCCACATTCCACATGGCTCACCAGGCCCTGGGCAGCCCCTTAATCCTCAGCGGTTCCCCTCCTCCATGCCTGTGCACAATTTTCTGTCTAAATAAGAAGTCCCCTTCCCTTCATGGTAGACTTCTATTTTTATCTGTCAAGATCCAGTTCAATTGCTTATTTTTTTCTCCTGAGACCTTTGTGACTCAGAGGCAAGATTCCATTCCTCCACCAGACCTTGACAGCCCCGTGTACCTCTCTACATGACCACTGTCTGTTCTGAGTTTTGGGTGCATGGGGAGGAGGTCTGGTGCAGTCCATAAGTTGCTCCTTCTGGTGGGCAGACAGAACGGGCCGAGGCAGCAGGGCTAAGTGGTCTACACCTGCCTCCCCAAATGCCAAGGGCTGCAGGGCCACTTGAGCCAGCCTCAGAAGGGCTTGGCTGGCAGGTAGGTGAAGTGTTAATTGCTCAGTCACGTCCGACTTTCCGCAAACCCCGTGTACTGTAGCCCGCCAGGCTCCTCTGTCCATGGGATTCTCCAGGCAAGAATACTAGAATGGGTTGCCATTCCCTTCTCCAGGGGATCTTCCTGACCCAGGGACTGAACCCGAGTCTCCCACATTACAGGCAGATTCTTCACCCTCTGAGCCACCAGGAAAGCCCAGGGCAGGTGAGGAGCAGTGCCCAGTAAGGAAGCACACTGCAGTCGGGAGCATGGCCGGGGTGCTGGATGGCCAGGGGGCAGGATGAGAGCAGACACCGGTTAGGCCACTGATTAATGGACAGGTTGAAGGGGCTGGTGCCGAGACACTTCAGAAGGCAGAGTGTTCAGGACTCAGAGCTGCTGAGAGGTGGTACACAGGAGTTTGAGGGTTTGAGGCGCTGGCTGGTGTTGGGATTGCAGAGTCTGAAGGCAGAGGCAAGGAACCCTGGGCAAAGTAACTGTTCTCCAACCCCCCATGCCAAGGTACATCATGACAGTATCAACACACACCACGCTTGTGATCAAGTCCTGTTTATTTTAGAAGGATAAACAGTGGAAGTAGGAAGGAGTGATGAGAGCAAGACCCCCACTCCCCTTGACAGGGCCAGATCCAGCACAGCTGTGTGTGTGTGTGTGTGTGTGATCAAGGCTGACCCAGCAGCCTTCACCAGCCTTTACTGAGAGGACAGGGTGTGCAGACAACCTGGGTGGAGATGAATCTGCCATGGAGGTGGGGGTGGGGTAAGTTGTCTCCGAGTCCCTCTGAACCAGGTGAAAAAGACCAAAGGGCCCAAACACTGCTGGCCAAGAGCACCCCACGCTGGCTCTGTCCGTGCCTGGGACAAAGCCACATTCTGGAAGGGAAGGTGTGGTATCCTGTGGTCACTAGGAAGGACGCGGGTGTCAAGAACAACATGCAAGGAGGCTCTCTGGCCAGCCAGTACCTGTCTCCCCCAGCCATCTCTGTGGAACCTTGCATTAAAAGGCAGCAAGACTTCCCAGGCCCCGCTGCAGGGTGATGGAAGCCCCAGGCCCTTACACATACTGTTTCTTGGAAGCAGAGCTGCTGGGGCGACTGGGGGATTTCCGGCCAGTCTGGGGGGGTGGGTCCAGGAAGAGGGGGGCTCTGGAAGAAGCCAGCCTCTCCTCCGTAGTCAGGTTGGCCCAGTTCTGCTCACTGGACGAGAGCCCGTTGTAGGTGGGGCATGGCGGGGACGAGGGCCCCTCGCCCATGGGGAGGTAGAAGAAGACCTGGTCGGCGTAAGGCTCGGAGGAGGTGCCCGGGGCTGGGGGCGCGTCCTGGCGCTGCCGGGCCCTCAGCCCCCGGCTGAGGCAGCGGCCCAGCAGGTACGCCAGCTCCAGCAGGTTGAGCGCCAGGGAGATGAGTCCGACCACCAGCATGAAGATGATGAAGATGGTCTTCTCCGTGGGGCGAGAGACAAAGCAGTCTACGAGGTAGGGGCAGGGTGAGCGCTGGCACACGAAGACGGGCTCCATGGCCCAGCCATAGAGGCGCCACTGGCCGTACAGGAAGCCCGCCTCCAGCACGCTCTTGCAGAGCACGCTGGCCACATAGGTGCCCATCAGCGCCCCGCGGATCCGCAGGTGGCCGTCCTCCGCCACCGAGATCTTGGCCATCTGTCGCTCTATGGCTGCCAGCGCCCGCTCCACGCGTGGGTCCTTGGCCGGCAGCGCCCGGAGCTCGCCCTCCTTCTGCCGCAGCCGCTCCTCGCGCCGAGACAGGTAGATGACGTGGCCCAGGTAGACCAGGGTGGGCGTGCTCACGAAGAGGAACTGCAGCACCCAGTAGCGGATGTGGGAGATGGGGAAGGCCTGGTCGTAACAGACATTGGTGCAGCCTGGCTGGGCCGTGTTACACTCGAAATCCGACTGCTCATCGCCCCACACCGACTCGCCGGCCAGGCCCAGGATGAGAATGCGGAAGATGAAAAGGACCGTCAGCCAGATCTTGCCCACCACGGTCGAGTGCTCCTGGACCTGGTCTAGCAGCTTCTCAAGGAAGCCCCAGTCGCCCATGGCTCCCGGGCCTCTGTCTGCAGGGAGGCATAAGACGCGGTCAGCATCCTTCTCGGCTGTCCTCAACAGGCCTGCAGGAGGCTGGCCACGTGTATTTCACCTACAGGGAAACTGAGCTCCCGGAGGGGAAGGGACTGTCCTGGGGGCTCACACCCAGCAGGACTAAAAGCAGACCTTTGGCTGATGGCGGCTAAGCTCTGGCAAGGGTACAGCTAGGAGCCCTGTCTAGTCTCACCTGGGTCCCTCCTGACCCAGCCGAAGGAGCTCAATCCAGGTGAGCCTCCCGATCCTAAGGGAACAGAGAATTTGAGGAACCGATCCAAGGTCACACAGCTGTGCCATGCCCCTCCTCCCTTCGGCCCAGGACAGCCTGTCCCCAGACAGTGAGGGGAGGTGGTGGTGATAACTCCAGCTTCCCAGAGGGCCCAAAGCCTCACGTACCCTCTCCCCTCCTCAGCAGCTCTCGCCCAGCGGGCCTCGCTCTAACCTCTGAGTTCCTGGTGAAGGCATGCTAGACACTCAAGGCAGCATCCTGCATTAGCTCCACCTGTCAGCAGTAGTGACCACCTGCCGCTTAAGCCCCCTTTCTCCAATCCCCTCCCCTTGACAAAGCTGTTGCTGCTAGAGCTGCTAGATTCTAGGCTCTTGAAAGGAACTGTCATAGTGGGGTGGAGGCACAGGCCACCGCGTACCTAGAACTTAAGGGGGAGAGTCCGGGGGGAAGAAGGTAGGGGCAAGGGGCGGGGGAGGTGCTTCTTCGAGGGAGCAAAGCTGTTGAGAGCCGGGCTCTGGAGCCAGACCTGGGTGCAAATCCTACGTCTCCTACTAACGGGGACCTTGGAGAAGTGACGGCAGGCCCCTTAGTACCCCAGTCTCCTCTCCTGGAGAATGTTAACATTCTTACCTCCTAGGGTTGTAAGGATACAGCGAAAGACGGCAGGAACCCGGCTTAGTCTCTGAGGACAGCCCAGGTGGGCTGGGTGAGCGAGGCCCGCGGTGGGTGCCCCCCCCCACCCGCAGCAACCTTCCGCCCCTGGCAGGTGGTCCGCTGGCAAGTGGCGCCCCAGCTCCCCCCCAGCCCAACTCACCGCCGGCCTTCGGGCAGCCCAGGTGGTGGAGGGGACGCAAGTCGGCCGGAGCGGCGCCCGCGGGAGCCCTGCTGGACGGCGCCGGGCGGCGGGGGCGCCTTAAATAGCGCGCGGGGCGGGGTGGGGGCAGGAAGCGGCGGGCGCTGTTCCGAGTGAGCGGGAGGTGGGGGGCGGGACGGGAGGCGCAGGCTCCCTGAAGCCACTCTCAAGGAAGGGGCCTGGGAGGTGGCACTGGGAGTCGAGGGTGTGAGGGGGAGAGACTGCTTCTTTGGCTGTGCAATAGAGAGGTTCCCCGGAGGGATGATGTTTTCCAGGGTGGCCGCATGCGAAAGGATTACAGCCAGAACTTTCTGATCTCAGGCAGCTGTCCTGGGAGGCTCTGAGAGATGGGCAGGTGGGGCTGAGGGTGTGGGGGCCTTCAGGGAAGGGCAGCCCCTTGACCGTGGGGGCCTCTTGCTCTTGTTGAGAAGCGAGAATACCCCTCATTTGTGGGGTGGCCACTGTGTGCCCAGAGCCCTACCAGGCCTTGGGAATTAAGCCTCCTTAGGGCGTGGGAGAGAGGGGTTATAATCTGCCTTCTCTAGTGTCTGTGGTGAAGCTGGGGGTCTCTAGTCAGCCCCTGTTCTTGCTGAAATCTTGAACATCCCCATTCCTGGGAAGGCTGCACCATCAGAGGGCACTAAGAAATGCCCATGGTCCACTAGAGACAGGACTGGGGAGGCGGAGAGGGGAGGCCACGGGGGCTACTCTTCTGACCTTTAGCTTGAATCCCATCCTCATGCCTCTAAATGTGGGGTGGGAGGAGGCATCCCAAAGAAGTAAAGGGGTTGGCAGGGCCCGCCCGTTGTTCATTCAGGCATTACCCTTTTCGTGAACATCCATGGGCTGCAGGTGTTGTCTGTGGAGCTGGGTAGTTGACCATAAACCAGCTAGATGTGGCCCCTGGCCTGTGACTCTTACCGGCTAGAGGGGTCAGGCAGGAACTGTGCCCATAGGCCCTTCAGTTCAGTCGCTCAATTGTGTCCGACTCTTTGCAACCCCATGAATCGCAGCACGCCAGGCCGTGGGTAAGAGTAAAAATGCGAAGTTCTCCTGATTCAGGGGGGCTCAGGTAGGAATGTTTCCTGGACAGCATTAGCCAGGGCGATGGGAATAATCAGGAGTTGATATTAGGAGTAGAAAAGAGTTTTATTTGAGCCAAACTGAGTATTCTTGCCCAGGAGACAGCCTCTCAGATAACTCGGTGCAAGTGCTCTGGAGAAGCACGATTTTTCAGCACAGTTTATATCTTGTTGGAACGAAGAACACCAGACAAATCAGGGATACTTCAAAGTTGTGAAAAAACAAAAACAAAACCCACGAAATCACAGATCAGCAGTACACAGCGAGTCAGTACGGCCTTGGCACCTGGGAAGAAACTCTTATCATTGAAGGAGTAGCAGCATTGGTGTTCCAGAAAGGGAGGCACGATGTAACCTTTATTTTCAACATGAACATTCTTTACTTCTGGTCAATGCACCCTTTTCTTTCATAATTATAGCACCTGTACAATGTGTGTTTGATAGGGCCACAAACAGGCTGTTTTAGTTAGCATAAAATTCGAATTAACTCTTGCATAAGCTGTGACTTCCCCATACTTCAATACATGAAACTCTCATCAGCCAGGTGGAGGGTGGGGAGAATATTCTAGGCAAAAGAACAGCAGGAACAAAGGCTGCCAGGTCCTGAGGCTGCACCCGCCTTGGTGGGAGAGGCTGTAGGGCCTGGAAGTTGAGGCTGCTGTTGATCCCTGGGCCCTTATTAAGTTGCTTACACCCTGGTGCCTCAGGTCTTCCTCTGTAGATTGGGGACATAATAGTTCCTACCCGTAGGGCTGATGGGAGATCCAATCAAAGTTCACAGTATACTATTAGTACACAGAAAGTTTTCCAATGGGTGGTGGCTAAAAACGTTGTAACAAAACATTTCTGTGACTGAAAGGGTCGGTGGGTGGGTCTTGGTGGGAGCAGAAAGCTGCTGAGAGGGAGGCAGCTCAGGTGGAATATTGGTGAAGGATGGGGCAGCTCAGGAAACAGGAAGGTGGTGTCTGAGGCTTGGTGGCAGAAAGGTCCTGTGTTTCTCCACACCAGGATTCGGCCTGTGGACTCCCGGTGTCCCAGGGTGGGTCCCCAAGGCTCCTGCCTTTGGAGGACCTCTGGGGCACAAGTGTGGTGGGCTCAGCTCCGACCTCAGAACTTTCGGGATCGGCCTGAGCTGACTTCCCGTTCCAGGCCTGTCCCTGAGGACCATGCTGAACTTCCAGAGCTGACAACTGCACCCTCTAAGTTCTGACCTCTGAGGGCATGAGAACCGAGGTCCCTGGAGGCAGGTTCTCACCACGCCCCCACTGCCGCCTCCGCTCCCAGAGTTCCTCTCCTGGGGCTGGCTCTCCGGAGCGCAAAGCCGATCTGATCTGATCCCATCTACTGGGAAGGAGGGAGGAGCTGCCTTCACCCTTCCCCAGAGACTCTGGAGGGCAGAGTTTGAATGACGCCGCCCCTTCCAGGAAGGGATGAGCCGGGGTCAGCCAAGACAATCCCACACCTGGCCCTTCCACCTGGGAAACATCCTTAGATCTCCACACCCCCCACTGTTCCCACTGCCCTGACCCTGTGTAGGCCACCATCTCAGTGGCCTCCCACCTGGTCTCCTGGCTTCCTGCCCAGCCTCCACCCTTCCCCAGAAATCAGACCACACACCGCCCTGCTTAAAATCCTTCTCCTTTGCCTCCTGGCCTCGGCCATCTCTGCAGCCTCCTCCCTCTTCCCCTTTCTCTCAGTGATCCAGCCATACTTGACTCTTGCCTTTGTCTGTGCTATTCCCTCTTGCCTCATGCACTCCACCATTTCAGGACCTTGCTCCATGTCCCTTCTAGAAGGTCCCCTTGCTGGCCTCCTCTGGATTAGGCATGCCCTCGGTGGCTCACCTACCACCCCTGAGCACACTGTTGAGTTGTGTTCATTCACATTGTTGTGCAATGGATCTCCAGAGCATTTTCATCTTGCAAAACGGAATCTCTAGAGATGGAACACTCGCATCTCCCTGACTGCCACCCAGGGTGCATTGCCTACTTGTGTTTGTTGTCACTCCTCCCCTGGTGGGCTGTGAGCCCCTTGAGGGCAGGTGACTGAGTCCTGTGTGCATGCCCAGCACCTGGTGGGGAACCAGGCTCGTATATAAGTTTGTGAATCCAAAAAATTATTTACTGAGCTAAACACTGGAGCTCAACCAGGGAACAGCAGTAACACAAATCCCCATCTTGTGGGCTTTACATTCTAGCTGGAGGGATCCAGACGGAATATAGAACCTGTTAGAGGGTGACAGAGGGGGATACCTGGTAGATGGAGAAAAAAGCAGGAAAGGAGGATCAGGGCATGGTGGTGAGGGGTGGGGGAGGGTGGAGGGCTTGGATTTTGAACAGGAGAGGTGCAAAATTCTTCAAAAGCAGCTGACCTTTGTTGTGGACCCTGAAGGAAGAGGGGAAGCCCAGTGGCTCTCTAGGAGAAAGCGCATGCCAGGGAGAGGGAAAGAGAGAGCAGAGGTGCTGAGGTAGGAAGGTGCCTGGTGTTTCCTGCTTGAGGGAACAGCAAGAAGGTCAACATGACAGTGAGGTTAGCAAGGTGAAGAGATGGGTTTGCAAAGGGAACAGGTGGGGCAGATCTCGTAGGTCTCTACAGGCCTGTGTGAGATGCCTTTAGAGGTTTGGGGCGTAGGAGTGACAACCTGACTTAGGTTTTAGGGGATCGCTCTGACCGTCTTCCTGGGACTAGACTGTGGGAGTGGGTGGTGGATGCAGACGGCCTCACAGAGGACTCGCTGCCCAGCTATGCGGAGCGAGGCCTGCTGACAGTCCCCAGCTGTTAGCACGCAGGT